CTGAGAGCCAAGTGGAAAGGTGGAGCAGGAGGTTGAGTATGTGGAGCTCAGAAGACGGGAAGTAGAGATACAAATGTGGGAGTCACCCCTACAGGAGTTGGCTTAAAAGAATACAGCATGAGAAAGGGACAGGGCTGGGAGAAGTCCAGTCTGTAAGGATCATCAAGAGGACTGTGAGGAGTAGCTGAAAGGCAGGAGGAAAACTGGAAGGCAAAGAGGCTGCTAGAAAGGGGCCAGGAGAGTGTTGGAAGGAGAGGATGCCTGAGACAAATATCATGAACCGTCAGGAAGATGAGGACTGGAAAATGCCCGATGGATTTAGTGACACAGAGGTCATCAGTGACCATAGTGAGTGCCATCCTGGCAGAAGAGTGGGGTAAGGAATGAGGGGAGGGTGTAGAGATGGAGGAGAGGATGTAGAAAAAAAATGAGAAGGTGGGGGATGAGAGCCTAGTAATATTTCAAGAAAGATAGTTGAACATGCTGAAAATCTCCCGAGAAGGATCCAGTGGAAAGGAATCTTCCTTTATCAGGAGGAAGGAGGAGAGAGCAGGTGTTAGCACTGATGCGGGTAGGGGAAGGCTTCATTGTCTAACAAACTCAGGGAGCTCTGATGGAGGTGAGGCAGTTCCTGACAGAGTAGGGGCTGGAGGAAGAGCAAGGGAGGAAGTCCAGGAGGTTGGAGTGGGGAAGTAAGTTGACCAGAGGTTCACAGGGGGGAGGTCATTGGGAAGTGTGAGAAGCCCACTCGAGTTTGTGACCACAGGACAGAAGGAGACAGATCCAGTGTATTTTTCTCCAAAGAACTTTGCATAGAGAAACCAAGTTCAAGAGAAATTGAGTTCAAGGGCAGATGAGATCACAAGGGCAGAGATGCAAAGGCATCTTCTGCTTATCACCTTGGTATCCCACAGACATGTTGTCTCAGTGTATCCCAGATCCATGGTCTTCTACTTCCTTTTTCCAACCTGCTACCCTTTCTAGATTCCCTGTCTTGGTAAATGGCAATACAATTATCTAATAATATTACCAATAATAGTCATTTATTAAGCATTTTTATAGCAGATGTGATACCAGACATTTTAAAATAATCATCTTTATGATCATCATAACAACCTTCTGGAGTATGTATTATTCAGATACAGATGTGGATGCTGAGCCTTAGAGAACTTGCTCCAGATCTCTAGGGAATGGCAGTCAGGATGAAAACTCAGGTCTGTCACACTCCAAAGTCCTGCCCCTTTCCCAATGCCAAACCACCTTCAAATTCCCTTGCCTGGAAAGAACTGATCTCTGATGCTTTCTTCCCTCTTGCCTCCCACACCACCAGAGCTGTCACACTGTATTTGTTCACCTCTGTCATATCTCCTGCATCATTTGTTACTTCCTGCCATGTGTCTCCACCCTGCTCTGCTTCCCTGGCTGGGTTCACCAGAATGTAAATTTCATAAGGGAAGGGATCATGATCTGTCTCTTTTCTGCTGTATCTTCTGGCCCTAGAACAGTTAAGTAAAACACTCAGTGAAACTCTGTTGAATGAAAGAATAACTGTCTATTGGGAAATAATTCACAACAGGAATCCTACACTTCCACAAGTCTGTGGGCAGAGGCACTGACAGTTTTTTGTCCCAGATTATGATTTGGAGATTGTTTTCATAGCAAACTACTTTGGAAGATAGATATAGTGTCTCCCTCTAGTGGAGGGCAATTGTTTGCTCTTTAATATAATAAAGATACTGTCTGGGGCAAATGATGGATGGGTTTGCTTGCAACCCATTACAAAAGATTGGAATTTCCTAAGTTCTAGGTTCTTCAGTGTGTTTAGTATTACCCAACTCTAGCCCCATATCTCTTCTATAGGACTTG